GTGTTAAATTCTCAAAAGAGTTCTGACATGTGATATATGTCATATATTAATCATCAAGAGCAATGCTTCTTTATAACTTGACATCTTGCATATGGTTAAATGTTACGATTCAAGCCTGTCAAGGAAACTATTTCACACAACTGAACTGAGACTGTCTCTCTTTTTTATGCTCTTTTACTATTTCACTCCTAATTTGGAAAAAATAAAAAATAAAATCAGAAGAACAAAACTGCTTTTTTTCATACTAATGCATTGGGAACCTTAATTGCTCTTTGATGTCAGCCTGAAATCATGGGTAATTTTACTACAACCTGTGCAGAAGTGAGCACAAGGAAATTTTGTCACCGTTAGGTCAGATAAACAAGAGGATTCATGGAAAATTACATGCCAAGGGAATTTGAGTTCATAAATTATATTCCGTACAATGTATTGGTGGTGACTCAATGAGAATAATAGATAAATTATGTCTTATGAAAATTAAGAGTAGTGTAATCCTACAGAAATAAAAACATTTTGAATCATTTCATCCCTCTCCCCTCCATTTCAGCTGTAAAATATTTTAAGCTCATAAAATATTTTCAGAACTGCAGACCCTTATTGAGAGACTGGAAAGTAGGAGATAGAGAGGCCTCAGGCGTTTCCTATCATTATGGAGAAAATAGTTTTCTCCTTATCTGCAGGGCTAAAGCAATTATCGTACCAAAGTTTCTCCTCTGGCCACATTATGTTCAAACAGTAACATTAAAAAATGCTTCCCTATGTAGCAAGGGGCCCAGTTGTAGTGACTACGCCACCCCGGACTACCGGGGAAAATAACCCAAATAAGGGCACTCAAATACGTTCCAAATGAAAAGAGCAAGAGGTGAGAATCTCTGTATGAACAATCTTTTATTAAAGCTAAAAGAATGGGCTAATATTAATTTAAAACCCACAGCACTGACATAGGTTCAAAAGAAGACAACAGAAAACATCCAAATAATAATGCTGTAGAAAGCGGAGACTTCCTATATGACAAGCGGGTGAATGTAACAGCACCAGGTACGCAAAAGAGAAAAATCACACCAACCCGTATCACACGCACAAGACTCACTGCAAATAGTAACAGCGATAGTGACACAAAATGGCCACCCCGAGTTAAATAATGTCCGTGGTGATGTCAAAACCCAGCCCGCTCCTGGAAGCACTCCACTCCTACAAACAAAAGAAAAGAGAACATCACATTAAAAATAAACCACAAATTGAATGTCCATATTCACAACAAAAGAAAACATCAACTTTTGAAAAATAATTCACAGAGTAAGAGAAAACAATTTCAAATCACTCAAAACAATGCCAAACAGAAAACAAATAAACGAACAAACATCAAGCCCACTTGAATACTAGATATGGACGTAATTAAACTCCCAAAAGCAGCAGCGTGGCTCGAACAATGCAGAATAGGGAACAAGCTGTATTAATTACCGCTCCCGGTCAACCTATTAATACGATGGTGTAATGCTCATGACAACAGACTTAAAAATCATACAACAACCTCTTTAAAGGCTCCTCTTTAAAAGGTGACCGTGACAACAGCTGGTGTACCGACCTGGGCTACGTTACACTGCGAGGCCACAATCAATGGGGGCCGTGAAGGCACACCGCACCAGTATATCTCAGCAGCCTAACAACACACATGGAAGGCCATAACAGGAGGGAAGGGGCGGGCTTTCAACCATGACGCACTCCAAGAGGCAGAACCAACCAACTTATATACCCTAACCGGGCAGTCGCTCATTGGCCGCCTAATTAATGATGGTGACGTTTTGACAACCTCACTACGTTAGCATCTCGCTCAAAAATGACCAAAGAGTTTCTATATTTTTCCTATTTAAAACTTGACTCTTCTGTAGTTTCATCGTGTACTAAGACCGACGGAAAATGAAATGTTGCGATTTTCTAGGCCGATATGGCTAGGAACTATGATATTACGCAGCGCCTGAAAATAGGCTTATTGGAAGTGATCTAGCTGGGGACTATTTTCAGGCGCTGTGTAATATCATTGCGCCTGCTGCACCCATGGTACGGCAGCAAAGTTCCTTGATTATTACACCGGAATGAAAGTATAGTTCCTAGCCATATCGGCCTAGAAAATCGCAACTTTTCATTTTCCGTCGGTCTTAGTACACGATGAAACTACAGAAGAGTCAAGTTTTAAATAGGAAAAATATAGAAACTCTTTGGTCATTTTTGAGCGAGATGCTAACGGTCTAATCAGATTCAATGATCTATGCTAAGCTGCAGCTAAAAGTGCTACCGCCAGACCCGGAGATCGGCTGAATGGAT